TTGTATTTAACTCTGTTTGTATACTTTATAGAGTAATAATTATACTTAAATAATTATTTAGTAAAGTATTCTTGCTACCCGAGAATATCATAAACTAAGTCTGTCATAGTTTATATGCCTTTAAGTGTAAAACCGTGTATTGAAATCCCAAACTATACCTATTATAGTCTGTAGTTAGCTATGTACCTGGTTTGTGTATTGATCAGAAAATTATGCAATTATGCTTATATGTTGAAAACGTCCCTTATGCTCAGCATGTTACAAAAAGGATAAAATATCTAAATATTTTATAAAGTGTGGAAACCGTATGGTTGTATTAATTGCATCAGTTTTAAGTGTGTTGGAATCCTTTTTGTATAAATTCATAAAAAATCATTTGTGTTTGGCTTGTATCCCCCCTTGAAAACATTAAAAATAATAAAAGCATAGGGGTATGAACTCACTGTTAGTCGCGTGAAAGTATCGGACAACGAAACTGTGAATGAAGATCCTTGGGTTGATGTACGCGACACTTAATGGGATCCTAATAACAATTAAATACATATACGCATTTTATTAGCGAAACCATTATTTATAGTGTTGGAAAAACACTTGCTTTTGGTTTAGGAATGTTACCAGGACTCGATTGAATTGGAGAAAGCAGGTTTTCAGCTAAGTTCACGACTTAGGGTGGGTTTGCGGCCGTGAAGGGTTTCCAGTCGTGAACTGTTCTCGGCCGTGAACTGTTCTCGACCGTGAATTGTATACTGCTTTTGAATAGTTTGCGGTATTTGAAGGTTTGAAGGGTCCACGGCCTGTTCTTGATGAACTATGAAGATTTGAAGGGTTCACGGCCGTGAACTGTCACAACTAGCATTTTTAGCTAGGAGATTCTATTTTCATGTAAACATCAGCTATGGCAAGACTTGTACTTTAAGTAAAAATCATACTATATGCTAAAATGAAATCATCTATTTGAATCAAAACTCCGGAGTAAAGTTCAAATCTAATACAATACATCTCACATATTCAACTATGGGTTGAAAACCCTAAAAATCTCGGTTCAAGTTTATTATGGGCTAAGATCCTCTTATTGGGCCTAATGGACCAGTAAACTTTCAATTTGGCTATTTTGGGCCAAAAAACCCAATTTGGGCTCTAATTGGACCCACATCCATGAAACTAAAGTATTTTGGGTCATATCGGCCTAGAATGATTCATCTTATCTCTAATGGGCCATGATGGGTCGTACATGGTTTCATAAGCCCTAATGGGTCGCAAACTATATTTTTGGGCTTCATTGGGCCGTGAACCCTCATAAGGGTCCAATGGGCCGAAAATTCTCATATTGGGCCTCATAATGTCAAATATGAGCTAATATGCCCCCAAAGTTTTCCTCTCTTCTTTTCCTTTCCCCATTCTCGGCCCATAAGCAAAAAAAAAGATTAAACATGCATGTGCCACCTAATCTTTGCATGGTGGACTTCCATGCTTAAACCCATCAAATAACAAGAAAATCACATACACCCATGCAACATCACTTCAACATTTCCCTCCTTCTTCTCTCTTCATTTTAACTCTCGGCCAAGGGTGCTTCACCACCCTCATTTTCTTTCATTTCAACTCCACCAAAAAGCTCTCTAAGAACATCAAGAATTCACTCACCATATCTCTAAATTTTCGAGTGTATCTTGTGAAAGATCAAGAACTCTTCATCAAAGCTCATCAATTTTGGTAAGTTTTTGTTTGACTCCATAGTTTTAACTTCAAGTTTACACCAAAAATCTCTTCTTAACCCACATCATTTCATGATCTATGCTCTTAGAACATCTTAGAGCTCGAAAATCTTCTCAAGAAACTTGCTAGGGCCGATATCTCATCCATTCATCATCAAACACCAAAACCTTCAAAGCAAAGTGAGTTCATACCCCCTATTTTCGATTTTTACTTTGTTTTGGGGGAGAATACAAGTTGTTTTGTGTAGATCTATGTGTATGCATGATTTTGTGTGTTTTTCTAGTTACATATGTGTTTTTGTGTTAAAAACTTCATGAACTTAAAGATCTACTAAAAGATGATGATATTGGTATGACATAACACTTATTTCAACTCATCTTATAAGAAAAAGGTTTTAAATACATCTAGATTACTTGAAGCTAAGAAAAACTTTATGAAAGGGTCTAAAATCGACAAAATGACAAAAGTATGAGTTATTTATGTAACTCACGGCTAGTAAGGGGTTCAAAAGGAAATTTTTGCTAAACAAAGGCTAATCTCGACATTTGAGACCTTACAAGGACTAAAAATGTAAACATTTTCATAAATTGGCCTTATTTGGGCTTCTCACGGTTTTGGGCCCAAAAATTGTAATTTTTGATCATTTGTGGGCTTAAATGTCATTTTCAAGAAAATTGTACCAAAAATGTAAATTTTTCATAAGAAGGGTTAAAGTTATGAAAATATACAAATTTGGGCCAAAATGATTAAATTTTCTATAATGGGCCGAATATGTATATTTTTATAAAAATCAAGCCAAAAATGATATTTTTGACAAAAGTGAGTTAAAAATGTTATTTTTACAAAAACTAGCCTTAAATACAAGTTTTGTCCAAAAAGGGGCCAAAAATGCAATTTTTACTAAAATTGGGCCTTAATTGTAAATTTTTGGCTTAATGGGCCAAGAATGTCATTTTTACAAAAAGTGGGTCTTTTATGCCATTTTGGTGAATAGTTGAACTAATACTAGCAATAAAATAATAAACAGACTAATTTTGTCATTCTCATATTATTGGGACATAGTGGTCCGCTTATATGTTTGATAGGTCCTGAATACTATTTATATATTTATTGGGCCTTATTGACCCATTAACATGCTCGACAGACCTTGAATACCTTTTGCGTGCTATTTGGGCCTGTAAATACCTTACATGTGAAATGAGCCTTAGTTGTCCTTTTACATATATTTTGGGCCCATGTTATATAATCTCATTCCTATCGGGCCTGGAAATGACTTACATGTTTAGTGAGCCTTAGTGGTTCACTTACATGGTTCATTGGGCATGGAATGTGTGTTATATGTTTCTCTTCGCGTAAATTCGATTAAGGATCTAATGAGACGTGTCGGTTGACACCTATTGAGTGTACGATCGTAGCCTGTAGTTATAACCAGAGTCTCTTGGAGGGAGAGCGGGGATTTGTGTATAGATCTATACAGGGATGACACCCCACACCTGAGCTGTTCGCTACAATTAGACTAAATCAGTCTAGGGTGACATCAGTCTAGGGTGACGAAAACTTTATTATATTTTCTGTCGGCGTTCACAAACGCCAAGACAGACGAAATTGTCATTATTTAGTATGGTTATGATGACTCACTTAGAGGAATTAACATTATGAAATTTACGGGATACCATTCTTTTTTTTTTCTTTTACAGGCAACAAAGGGTTGTCTGGGGGCATTCTCTTTACATTCTATTAATTCACTTTTGGCATTCTATTAAACAATAACATACATGCATTAATACAAGATCAGACACAAACATACCAAACTATTTTAAGAAAATACAGGATTTTCTTGTGATTACAAAGTTATACAAATCTTTTTCTCAAACATGCTTATGAACTCACCAACTTTTTTATGTTGACCCTTTTAAATTAACTTGTATTCTCAGGAAACCGTTGAAGCAGGTTGGGTTGAACAAACTAATGGATGTTTTGTTATATTTCTATTTCATCAGACTTTAATTATTTTGGCATGTAATATTTAAACACAATACTCGATGTAAACAATGATTGTTGTTATATTACATGTGTGGTGATGATGATGTTATGTTTCAATTATATACTATGTGATGATACTACAATGATAAAGTCACGCGCAAGCCCCCGGACGTTTCCTCCGTCTGGTTCGAGGGTGTGACATGAACTCAAGAACAACAATACTGGATTCGATGAAAAACGCATTTTAGATGCTCCACCACAACACCCAAAGGTGGTTCTTGATGATTTCCGGAAGGAAATAGGGTATTTTTATGTTTGCAGTTGAGAGGTTAGAGAGAGAATGGGGGAGTTTTCGGCCAGAAAAGTGTAAATGAGGGTAGCACACACATATATAGGGGGTTTTCATGGTCGGTGGTGGGGCCACCAGTCGTGATCGGGTTCACGGCCGTGAACACCACTCAGGTCGGAATCCGCTGATTTTCGAAGGAAACTCGGCTTCTTGTGCGATTTTGGTTCCGACTCATATATAAAATTCAATTATATAACTTAAATGACTTTCCAAACAAAAGGAATTTGACAGAACTAAATAAAATTCAAAATTTATATAACGGAATCGGATTAACGTTAACGGAAAAAGGTTCGGGTTGTCACACTACCTCTCTCTCTCTCTCTCTCTCTCTCTCTCTCTCTCTCCAAAACACACACTTAACAATATCAAGAACATATACCCACAATCTCAAGAACACCTCCACCTCCATCTTCACCGTCCATCACTGTTCACCGCCGCCACCATCCGCTGCCAACCACCTCGATCTCCTTCACCCTAATCCCACATATCTCCTTGCTTAACCTGGTGAACAATCGATTTTCCAGGTTTGATTCTAGAACTGAAATCGATTTTTGAATCTATAAAATGCTTCTGGGTAATGGGTTTTCAAACGCTCATTTGGTTGCTGTTCTTCATGGAAGGGCTGCATAATCTGTTGCGTTCTTTAATCATGAATACTTTTGTAGTTTTCTGTTTATGAACATATGCAAAAGGCACACGTCATTGTTCTGTAATTTCAAGATCTGAAGAAACAGTTTCTTGATTATTATTTTTTTCTATATTTTCCAGGTGTTATATTATGGAATCTCCACAATCTGTTGTATCACCATTGAAGAAATCTGTTGTATCACCATTGAAGGACTTATCAACTTACTCCGACCCCAAAAGCCACAATCTCAATCATTCCCCAAAAGCCCTGAATTCACATAAAAAAAATCCGACCCATCCCTTGGTGTTCTTGATATCACGTTCATCAAGCTAGAGCATTCAAAACATCTGTATATACCACAAACAAGATGTTTATGCCAAAATTACCCTCACTACAAACCCTAAAAAACCCGTCACCACAAACACAATAAATAGAGGTGGACAAAATCCTGTTTTCAACGAAAAGGTTTCAATCGATGTCCCCACTCTCGATGCTTCAATCAAATGTGATATATATGCTAAGCCGAGTCCGAAATTACCTCGAAGATCAATTCTTAGGTTTCACTATAATCCCGCTTTCCGATGTTATCTTCAAGAAAGTCGAGAAGGAGTTCTCGGTATCAACAAATGATATTTTCCACTCACAACAGATTATGCAGCCATCGATGAACAATGCGCATATGTGTTCATCAGATATAGATTGGGGAAGATGAAGAAGTAGGTAGGGGGTTTGACTTTCTTTTGAGAGAGAGAGAGAGAGAGAGAGAGAGAGAGAGAGAGAGAGAGAGAGAGAGAGAGAGAGAGAGAGAGAGAGAGGTGGGCCTGGTTTTATATTTAATGATAATAATAATTTAAAAAAATGAAAACTAAATTCATTAAGGGTATAATAGTCTTTTTAGTTTGGATAGGGACAAAAACTGCATGTAAACTAGCTCAAAAGAAAGTAGCTCAAAAGGACCACCAATCCAAAAAAATTATGGTTTGGACTAAAACCCCAAAAACATGCATACCACAGGGACCATTTTTGCAATTTTGTCTGAATAATATTTGTGAAAATAAGGATATATTTGTGATACTGAAGTGAAAAATATAGAACAATTGTGTAAAAAAGTCGGCACTTATAAATGAAGCTTGTTTTACTAACTTTTTTTTTTATTAAGTTCAAGTCATCATTAGTCCATTAAGTAAAAAGAAAAATCTTCTGAGTTGCTGAAGAAAACCAAAATTGATTGTTCAACTAGTCTATATCTCTTTAATTTACACAAACTTTGGCAAATTAAATCAATATACATAGTCTGAACAGCTATTATATTCGCTCATCTTTTAATCGTAAATACGGGGTCTTGAGGCTTTAGTTGAGAGGTGGTTTCCTTCGTAAGTTCGGAGTTGCTTTTACCATTCGCAAGTACATAGTGATTATGTTTACCTTCGTATGTAGTTATGACGGCCTTTGGGTCGCTTGCTGCTCTCTCAACATGTTTCCGAACCTTGCACCCTTTACTTGTGCACTTGTAGTAACTCCTGCAAAAACATGTACAATAATCATGTTTAACTTATCAAATATGCACAAATAGCAAACCGTAAATTGTTTTCACTTAACCCATTAAAACATATTTATATATTAGTTAAACGTAGACAACCTTATATATTTGTCCACATTAAGTGTTTAAAATATTAAGTTTTATCAAGTAAAAAAACCAAACCTACCTTGGATGAGAGTTTCCCTTAACGACTTTCTGGCCATATTTGCGCCATTTATAGCCATCATCGAGAAGATCTATTTCACTGGTGGCTTGAACGACAATCCGAGGTTCCATAACTTTCTGGTGGGATGCAACCGGATCGAACTCCTTTACCTCTACATTCCTACATCATACATGCCGAATTATGAAACTTAGCATAATAACAATAATATGTTTACCATGATAAACGAAATATTAACTTTTAAAACCATGATCATATTTAGTTTTTCATTATTAGACAAATGTACCTCTTTTTTGTTTGAGGCTTGGCAACATCATCACTAGCTCCATCACTATCGTTTAATCCCGACTGTTCATGGGAAGATTCTTGATCCTCCCTACCCTTGAAGGGTTCAAACTCACCGGAAGTTCCAATGGATCGTGGTGGTTGATGGTTGTGCTGGCCTTTATAGATGATCTCAGTCACTAAGCCGTCAGGACTCCGCTCAACCTTCTTCTTGACTACACAACGTTGATGCGTGCATCGGTAATAACTTCTAGGGTAGTCACTACCCTTCACTTGCTTCTGCCCATATTTCCGCCAGTTGTAACCGTCCTCAGCTGGCTTATCAGCCGTGAGAGGTTGCGAGTGGCTGCCGGAAATGGATAACTCCGGCTTTATAGCATACTGGTCTGCCATAGATGGTGGAAGACGGTGGTGTGTGGTTGCTTTAGTTTTAGCCTGAGCCAAGGCTTGCTGGTGAAACGTTCCATATGAGCCCTACCACATAACCAGAATTAAACCGGCTAGCCAGAAAATCTTAGAAAATAGGAGCAAGATTTTACAAACTTCATGGTGGAGTACACGTACCTTTGCCGGAGGAAAGAATCCCGGAGAATCGAGCAAGGACGCCGGACTTATTCCCGGAGGAAAGTCAACGCCCCTGCCAACACCACCACCACCAACGTTTTCCAAAAAAGAAACACCGGCATCTAGATCTCTAGGCGGGATACGTCCTTGAAATTCTACCGATGATGACATGGTTCCAGCCAAAAGCTGAGAGAATGAATGATAATCCGCTTCCCTGTCGTTCTCTGAGAGAAAGTTTGAGATTAAAGTCATCGGTCCCGGACTCTCCCCCACGCCGCCGCCACTTCCATTGGCGAACAAGTTCTCCACCGTGGAAGTTGCAGGTATTGAGATATTAGGTGGTAAAAATGATGCCGACGATGATATTAATCTTCTGAACTCATCCATTTCTTAACAGATCAACTTCTTTTGACTACTTCAACTCCTATAACAACCAGTGATGAATTTTGAGGATTGTTTTCTTGATTGTTTTCTTGTCTCTCTTGATAGGATCTCAAAAAGTCAGCACAAGTTTCGCGGAGTAGATGCGAAAAGTGCTTTCTTGAAATCTTTTCACATATTTGGAATATTTCATAACGAGCCTTATTGTTTCTTACAAGTTTAAGGGCGTGTTTGACAAAAGTAGCTGTTAGCTAGAAGCGGGTAGCGGTTAGCTGGTAGTGGGTAGCGGGTAGCGGGAAGCTATAGCTTTTATTTGTTATATGAATGTTTGACACAAGTAGCTGGAAACTTTTGAAATATATAAAATTACATAAAAGGACAATTGATTAAAAATAAATAAATATATAAATATATTTTTAAGGGTAATTATGGAAATTAATTTCAAAAGCTCAGAAACGTTTTGTTAAACGCTACATGAAGTAGCTTTTAGAATCGGAGCGTTTTGGTATGAGGCAAGCTTTTAATTTTCAGATTCAAAATGTTTTCTCTTGATTTTTGTTTTTTAATTATTCAATAGACTCTAAAATTTGAAGAAAAAGAGTTGTACCTTAATAAAAAAAAAAAGAGGGATTTGTTTGAAAATACCCTAATTTTTCAAAAAAACGTTTTTTCTTCTTATCTTTCTATTTCACAGAACTGCCTCCATTTTCCCTCATGATATCTCCTCCTGCCTATCAAAAGTTCATATCTTAAAATTTTGGAGCTTTTAAATATTCAGACACTAAAAAATTTAGATCTTAAAACTTTAGATCTTATTATATAAAAAGCCTCTTAGTTAAGAGTCGACTGAATTACAAAAATAAAAAAACAAAAATTAAATTGAGAAAATAGCAAATGACACACAAAACATTATGTTTTCATTTTTGTTTTGATTTTAACAATTTATATTTTTGTTTTAAATTGAATATCATGTTTTTCAATTTTTATTTTAAAGACACTTCGTTTTCATATTTCTTTTCGATTTTGATATTGTTTTTTCCAACTTGGGATGCCGGGTACCCTGAAGGGTCCTATGAAATGGTCAAATTCAACAAAATTGAAAAGTATGATTTTCGATTTTTAAAAAAATAATATCATGCCAAAATTGTATATATATATATATATATATATATATATATATATATATATATATATATATATATAATGTGTTTTGTGTCGTTCACGGTTTGATAAAATGATGGAAATATATAGTTTTTCTGTATTTTACTCTAAATTATATGCATATATTTAAACTTTAAAAAAAAATAATAATAATAATAAATAAATAAAACGAGTAATCTTTTTTCTAGAGGAGAACTTTTGTAATTATAGTCAAAGTGAAAGTACTTGATATGAAATTAATGGAATACAATTATACAAAGTACAAAGTAGAAAGTACAAACCAAACAGCCAAACAGGGAAACATCGTCGATTGAAGTTTCTACATAGCCAATCTCGAACCAGGAATCACCTCCGTTTTCACGGCATCAATGTACACAGCTTTCTAATTACAGCAGCACCGTCATAAATTGATAAACCCATAAACAGATTTGACTCAAAAAGGTGCCTTTCGATCGGAATTGATCAAATTTTGGCCACACAACATCTAGGTAATGCGCGTCATCATTCTTCCCAATTTTACATTTTTTATCCAATTGGGGTGTTCATTAAGCGTATTCCATTTGATTCTTTAATACTTGATAGTTTGTTGTCTCCACTCATTTTAATTGATATATAAAGATCCGATGAGGGTATGGATAATTGATTTTTGTTGGGGTTTTGCTCGATAGTTTGTACAATCGACTGGTGGTGACTTTAGATTAAATTAAAGTTTCAAACTTTCGATCGTACAGTCGATTTCATGTTTTTCTGAACACAAATCATATGATAACGATTTGATACTAAGTAGGGCACAAAAGGGTAACCAGCTGTAGGGCTCAAAAGGAGCTAATAATTCGGCAAAATAAAGCGTTTATTTTTATGAGGTGTTTTGGAAGATTACAACTTGTGTATAGTTAGATACATAATCTGTTCACTTCTTGAACTTCTGATTATTGACATGGGTGTTTTTTAGTTTCTGAAGCTATACACTCCATAGTTGTCCTTCAAAGCCAAATTTGACTTTTTTTAAATCAATGTGAGTGCTCTGCAACTTTGAAATTGATAAGAAATTGCTTACTTTTTGTCAGAATTTGTTATATAGCCAAGATGGAAGAGGAGATGATTACACTACAAAACATAATGCCAGTAGATCTTGCAATCAAAAGGGAGTTAGAATATCGTAAAAAGATGGAAATATCAAGAAACCAACATCAAAACAACTTAAAACCTCTTGTAGTCTCACAGGTAACCTCAAAAATCATAATCATGTTCTTGTTCTAGACTTCACACTACCAAATGTTAGAGTCGTAATTGAATAAGTTGTAGGGCCCACCGATTCAATCCTGGAAAGAAGATTACAAAATGGCAGCAAGCGGGTCCCATAAGTCTCGGATGTTTCAGTTTTCTTCAACCCGTCAAACCTTGCGAGAAAAACGTGTGTTTTCTTGCAAGGCTTGTCAGTTGACTTTTGGTACTGTTTTTGACCTTAGTGGTCATGTTGTAAGTCAACAACATAAATTCAATGTATCTGAGATGAAGAAGAGGAAACAAGCCATAAGCAATCCGATTTGGTGCGAATTATGTAAATCATCGTGTTCAAGTTTGGGCGAAATGGAACGTCATCTTAACGGGTCACGCCATTTGATGAGGATTTGAAATTATAAAAAAAAAAAAAAAAATTATTAAGTCGATTGTTATTCGGTAGTTGTAGTTTGATTTTGATCTAATAAAACATGTTGTACTTTGTAGGGTTTCAAAATTTTGTTATAGAAGTTATTGTATTAGATTCAAAAATTGTTGAAATTTTCATTCAGGTGCCGGGTTTGGAAGGTCAAAGGATGGTTGACCGAAAGCGAAAGGTACAACCCTCCAATGCACGGTTTATTTGTGTGGTTTGTGATATGGCGTTTGCTAGTGTGTTTCATTTGAAGATGCATGGTGAAACTTATGCTCATAGAAGTAACCTTTGTATGGCGAGAAATGGGGGTGAAAATGTGAGTAATCCGTTTTTATGTGAGGTTTGTGATATTTTGTGTTCAAGTGGGAAAGTAATGAAGCTTCATGCTGCTGGGGTAAAGCATAAGGGTTATCTTCAAGAGTTTGAGGATGCAAGAAGGGCAAGATTTTATGGTAATTTTAGTTCATATCAGTAAGATTAGGATTATGTTTTTTTTTTTGCTCTAAAAAACTTGTATGAATGAACTCTTGAAATTCTGCTGTTTTTTTGGATCCGGAGTACTCCACAATCATGAAATAATGACTTCTTTTTTGCAACAGAAGTTGTGTCCTGCAATGACTCGTATATGACACATGAGAAGTTTAAATAAAAAATAAACTTCGAGTTACCAGCTATTAGTTTTCAACTTTCAGCTAGTTTTGTCAACACGTACTCTAAATTAATGCCCTATGTTAAATGTGGCTTAACTTTTTTTTATATGTATTTTTCAGTAATAAAAAAAAAGAGAGAAAACAAAAACTAACCCAATAAAATCAAATATGAAATGGTTTGGGTTTTTAACCAACAAATTCAGACCAACTATAGACCAATAACATTGTGAAACTTGTAATTTGATGGACAAATTTTGATATGATTTCGATTTTAGGTTTCACCTATAAATTCATTGATTTCGTGTTGTGATGGATGATAACTAGTTCATTGAAACCCTAAATTTCAAACCCAAAATCCAGAAGAAAAATCCTAAACCTGAATGTGAACTTAAATTGTTCAAGATGACGAAGATTGAAGATGACAAAGCTTCAAGGGATCTTGGTTTATAAATTTCAACAGAGTTCAATGATCAAATGTCGTTAATTGACCCCCTTTTGAAAATACATAAAAAAAAAGGGTATCCGTTGGTGGTGATCATATCTGATGGAATGAATGGTAGGTTTGTTTTATAAAAGTTGAAACATGTATGTATGAAGATTGAAGATGTAATCAACCGATAATTGAGGGTACAACTGAATCTACAAAAGGTACAACTACTACTCTTCTCATAGTCATTCTACTCCGACCTTCTTTTTCAACATTGCAATGAACTCGTCCCTTTCTTGTGGTGACATTCCTTCAGCCGAACAATCACCAATCCCCCATTCCGCTCCTCTTAAGCAATACTTGTCTTGAGTCGCTTGTCGATTCCTGACAAATCATATCCATTATCCCCACAAATTAATCACCACTCGTTAATAACATCGATCTACAATCACATATTCAATCAGATTATATAAACAATACTTACTTTTCTTTGTTCACCTTGGATCGCTCAAGCAATTCCTTAAGCAATGGAGTCTCCTTGAATCTCGCATCATTTTCTGCATACTTTTTTTGATTTTCTTCTGCAGAAAATGGAATCCAAATTCTTAGATAATTTTAGCATGTGATGTAATCAAGTGAATCGGAATAGCAGCACACAGTACCATTGAAACGAGCGAAGGAATCAAACTTCGGTAGTTCGGGACCAGGCATCGATTCCAATCCTGAGAACCCCGAAAGCAATCCGGCGTGCGCTATAGCCATGATCATGAAAACAATTACCTTATGCATAAAAAGTAACACAGATACCCTAGTGAAAAGCAGAGGTGTATTTACCAGGGTATGGGGTGAGAAGAAGAGTCATTGAAGCAGCTAAAGGAAGGAGAGACTTGTCAAACCAGCTTCTTCTCTGGAATACCAATGCCGGAGGTGGCGAACTTTGTGAAAGATGGTTAAATGGTTGTCTGCCGACGGTTGTGGTGGTGGTGGACGGTGGTGTTGAAAAGGTGGTGTGCCATGGAGGTCCAAATGAAGAAGAAGAAACCATGGCTGCTATGAGTTAGGCTTCTTCTTCTCTTCTCTTTGTGAAGAGGGAGTATAGTGGATATATAGATAACGAGGCAGTGGAAACCGTTGGATGTAGTTAGCTTGGCCATGTGGCATGATCCCATTGGTTGATGATGTTAAATAGCAAAAAAGTGACAATAGAAAAAAAAAATATCTGGAAACCCCTGGGCCTTATACCGCACCTAGTCGTGCAAGATTGATACGGGAGTACCACTTTCCCGGTAGGAAAATGAGGTCCAACTTACTAAGGGGTGGAATTGGTACGGTACCATATATTTTTTTTTCGGACCGTGTACCGTACCAATTATAATTGGTATGTAATTTTAGTTATCACTACTGTACCAAGTACAGTTGGTACCAACTTAATTGGTTACCAGTAAGTTCGGTTGGTACATGTTGGTAATGGTATATACCAACATGTATGAGTGTTTTACGAATTAAGATTTATATGATATTATGCACTTAAAAGATACATGTGAGTTTTGTAAATAAGAGTTTTCTGAATGGTTGGATTGGAAATTCGATACAAAAAAGATTTTATAATTTTGTACCATGAGTTTAAACTAAACAATAGAGTAAATGGGATATGTTAATATTAGTTTAAACTTTAAAAGTTACTAGACCGTAAATGCTAATATCAAAGCACTTGAACTCTTAACCGTCAAATACATTTAAAGTTAAAATATACAATATTTTATTTATATGAAAAATAAATTGGTTGGTACGGTAATACCGTGACATTTAAAACTTTGTATCATTATCGTACCATTATTAATTAATTTGTACGGTACTACCAGCCAAACATGTTGGCTACCAAACATATTGGCTACCAATATAATTGGTTCGGTTGATACACATATTGGTTGGTTTTTCATGGTACATATTTGACACCCCTACTAGTTACTGCTATGTATTTCCATTTTACCATTTCAGTTCCTAAAGTTATTTTCTTATACTGATAATAAAATTGATGTCGGGACCTGTTTTTTTTGTCACTAACATGTTACATAAGCCACATAAACACTTAAATCTGATGTGTCTTATGATTTGACATTTTTTAGTAAAAAAAATAATAACAATAAAACTTGGGGCTCTCTCTCCCACACAAACACAGACAACCATCTTCATGTTATCCATAACTAAATCAAGACAAGAAAATCATCTTTAAATTAAAACATATATGGAACATTAGAATGAAACACATATCTGGAGGATGCACTACAAGGAGAAAGGGGGAAAAAAAAAATCAAAAACAAAACCCAGAAACATGCATGAAATCAAAACAAAATTCATAAATCTCCCTTTATCGATCAAATATATACATACACACCAAAAACATAAACTAAAAGAACCCACCTGCAACTTCATCTTCTTCGACCTCATCTCCAACAATGACTTCATCTTCCACCAATAAAACACATATGTGGAACAAATCAAAATCGATTTTGAAATCTAGAAAATACAAACACTACAATCTTGAGATTTTGTTTTTTAAACCAACAAAATACATTTTGAATTTTTGAAACCCAATAAATCAAGATGGTACTGGGGCGACAATCGATTGGCTCACGTAGCAACTAACTGGTTATTGAGCAAAGAGACTGAGATCGATGGAGTAGCAAGGGTGGCACCACCGTCCTCAACCGATATCTGTTCACAAACATGAGCCATGGTGTATGGTGACTCGCTGGAAGCAGCTACTTAGGGAGGCGTGCCTTGGATGTTGGCCGTGTCGGCAATGCCGGCGGCAACTCGTCCTTGTCTCTCCGACGAAGAGAGTCGAGCATTTCCTCCAAAAGAACTCTGAGTTACCGGGGTGGAGAAAGTAGCATCTATTTCAAAAATTACAACACCGCTCTCTAATTGAATTCAAAAACCCCTAAATTAACATATAAACTAAACTCATTATGCTTCAAAATTGAAACAATGCCGATGATAACGACATTGTTGAACAAACTCTATGAACCCTAATCCAATCCAAGATCAATTGATCAAAATTACACAATCAACGACCCTAATTTCACAAACAAATTTCGAGATTCAATCCTTCTAAAACTCTGCTATAAATCCCAACCTGAACAACTGAAGATTCCCTTAATTTTTGGGATTTTAACGAAAGAAAATACGTATATGAACCAGAGCAGGAGTGAAGGATTGGGGTAGCAGCATTTCATGTAGTGATATGGCAAAGGGGTAACCGGTTTACCCCTTCAAAATTTCGAAAAAGGACATTTTAAACCCGACAAAAACAACTTTGTTCCCTTAGAGGGTAAGAAAATAACTTTAGCGACTAAATGCGCAAAATCGTAAAACATAGTAGGGTCGTTCCGTCATTTTCCCCTTTCAGGTACCATAAAAATGTACGGCTTATGCGGGTTACCGAACTCATCCTACCCATACAGCTTATATATTTTTTTTGGAACGGTAGATACCAAAGTGTGTGGATTGAGAACGATAGATTACTATGTGTTTGGGATGGAAGGGTTGGAAGTGAGAGGAGAGAGGATTACTCATGTAGCACCTACATGACATATGGGTTGGAAAGGTGGGAGTAGGGTTGTAAACGAACCGAACATTCGCCGAACCGTTCATGAACAGTTCAGTGGGAAGTTCATTTATGTTCATTTATTTAATAAATGAACGAGCATCAACACAAATTCTCGTTCGTTTAGTTAAACGAACGAACATGAACAATAGTCTCGTTCGTTCATTTATGGTGTTCGCTTACATTCGTTTATGTTCGTTCGTTAAAGTTTATATATGTTCATATATGTTCAATTGCTTTTTTATTACATTACTATATTATATGTTCAATTGTGTTTGTTTATCTTTGTACGTTTATGTTTGTTTAGCATGTTCACGAACATAAATGAACGAACATGAGCAAGCTAATTTGTTAAACGAACGAATATGAACAAGAAAACTCGTTCGTTTATTCGTCCGTGTTTGTTCGACTAACTTAAACGAACGAACATGAACAAACCATTGTTTGTGTTCGTTCGATTCATTTACAGCTCTACTCCTACATTTTCGGCGTACCAATAAAGTATAATATTGGTATAAAATATATTAAAAAATAAAAATAAATGAAGGGAAGTGAAACAGAAAAAATGAGTGGTGATGTGTGAGTACACCCTTCGGTTTTATACGGGTGAGTGAACCCTTTCATCACCTTTTTTTGGTGAGTGAGTGTAAAGCTGACGTGACACAGAAAAAGTGAGTGGTGATGTGTGAGTACACCCTTCGGTCTTATACGGGTGAGTGAACCCTTTCATCACCTTTTTTTGTCTATCATTGATGTGTCATTTTCACTTCACCTCTTACTAGTAAATTGTCACTTTTCACTAAGTTTTTTCTCTTTTATAATTATATATATTAAAATATAATTTATATAAAATTAATAAAAAGAAAAGTATTTAATTATTTAAAAAGTAAAAATAATCAAAATAAAAAATTATTTTATTAAAAAATCAAACGAAACTAAAACATATTAAAATAGTACATCATTCCTCAGCGTCAGTCATAACGTCGTTAAAATCCTCATTCGAATCATCTTTAAATATATCTGACTCTTCATCTATATCATCAAACAAATCGTCGTTCGAGTGGTAAGCGACATGATTTAGATAAGTATGAAAGATATGTTCCACCAAATCAGTGTGAAAGTTGTGGTGTCCAGAGCGGTCATATATTTCCCATTTGTTCGTCGTGTATTCCGGCATACCAACACCTACTCTTTCCAATATTGGTAAATTCTCATTTTCATTATAGTGGCAAATCATTTTTTTTCTTCATCTTCTATTATCATACTATGTAATATGATGCACGCATACATCATGTTATGTATTCTTGTACGCTCCAATGACCGTCTCGGGTTGTAAGTATATGTCAACGTCTCTTAGAGCACCAAAGGCTCGGTCAACATCCTTCCTAGCTGATTTGTGGGCCGCCTTAAACTTGAACCGTATTATCGTCGTTTGGACATGAGAATGATTTCATAAATGTAGCTATCTCGAGATATATCCCATCAGTAAGGTGGTACCCATGCTTGTATGGTGTCTCATTCACTAAAATGACACATCATATGATTTCCCAAGGTAGATGTAGTTGAATATCGCAATTGGACTAGAACATTGATGTCGTTTTTGGCACCCAATGCACCAAAAATGCATTTCATACACAAAGATCATTTGATGCCACTAGTTCTAAAATTATTGTCGGTTTTTTTTATCACCACGCGTGAATTGACCCGCGTCACGCATTAGAGCACATTGACCACCCCCAATGCATATAATCAAGAATACCAAGCATTCTAGGAAACTCATGCTTGTTTTCATGTGTCGTATACAATTGGTGGACGTCATTAATTGTAGGCTTACGTAAATATCGGCTTGGGCCGAGAGAGAGAGGGAAGGAAGAGAATGGCTTGGGCCTTTTGTGCTTGAGTCCATAATATGAGGCCCAATTTGATGATTTTCGGCCCATTGGGCCTTTAGAGTAGTTCACGGCCCAATTTAGCATAAAGGAATGGATTTGAGTCTATTAAAGTTATTTGGATTGTTATGGCCCAATAAGGCCCATTAAAGGTAAACTAGTCCATTTTAGGCTTATAAGGCCCTAAAAGGTTAAGTCTCATGAGAGTGAGCCCAATGAGAGCCCATTTAAGAGTTCTAAGCCCTAAATAGTCACATTGGAAGTTTATTGGCCCATTAGGCCCAATAAGAAAATCCTAGTCCATAATGGACTTAAACCGAGATTTCTAGGGTTTTTAACTTTACTTGATGAATCTAGGTTTGAATGTGTTTCCATAGGTTGAACTTCAAGCATAACATGAATTAGGGTTACGAGTTTACAGTAGATAATTGTAGGCTTGTTTACAGTAGGTTTGAATGTGTTTCCATTCTCTTCCTTCCCTCTCTCTCGGCCCAAGCCGTTAATTGTAGGCTTGTTTTCATGTCACAACTAGCATTCTAGCTAGGAAATTATGTACTCTTGTAAACATTATCTACTGTAAACTCGTAACCCTAA